TGTGTGTGTGTGTGTGTGTGTGTGTGTGTGTGTGTGTGTGTGTGTGTAAGAGAAAGGGGAGGGGGAGAGCACTTCCCAAGGATCTTTCTAGCATGGGGGTTTCTGCACAAGAGTGTAAGAGGCGTAGCTGGGGGAGGGTGAAAGAACTGATGTGTTGCAGCAAGGACAGCTGTAGTCCTCTAGACACAATCAGGATATGACATCAGCTAGGGGGAGGCAAAAAAAAAAAAAAGGAAAGCGGAGTGTATTTAATGAAAAGCCCAACAAGGATTTTGTAAATGAAAAACTTAAATGTCTGAGCTCTGAACACACCAGTAATTTTACAAGAATTTCAGGAATTTCTTTTGGACGTTTCTGGAATAACGTACAGAAGGAGGACATTTTCCTTGGGTCATCTTGAAGTCGTGGGTGAGTGTTTTCTGTAAACAGTTGGTTTTACAAATAACTTTGATCAAAGCAGGACAAGCTAACTTCTACATTGGATCTTTCTCTTGAATTGATGTTGTTTATTATAGCTTAGCCATGGCATATTTGCAGTTTTGCAGCCCATCTTAAAATATACACCAGGGTAGATTTCTTAACTTTTCAACTCTTAATACTGTATAAGCTAACTGCTATGGATCTGGGCAAGTTCTGCTTTGGGATAGAGGAAAACTCTTGTACTAAAATCTAGCCAAATCTTTACAGTGCCCAAATCCTAATTCTCTCCTATGGTTAGATTAGCAATTTTGAATGGAGCTGTTTTGGAGCACAAAGTAACAACTGTTTTTCAGATCAGTTTGGTGCTCCTGGGTTGCCCCTTGGCAAAGGCAAAATAGCTACAAGCACCATATCTAATAAACTTTTTAAACAGATCGAATCATTACAGAACTGAGCAAACTGAAAATGAGCATCTGTGTGTCTGATACAGAGAATAACTTAACTAGAATAACACCAGGTGTGTTTCTGAGTATGTAAAGGGAACATGCCATTTACAATTCCCGGGGGAGGCAGTTGAGGAAATCTTTCAATTTGCTGATATTGTTATAGAATCTGTCAGCCTAAAGATTTAGAGTGTTTCCAGTCAGGCTTTTACTGTGCAATTATACTTAACAGTGGTCCAAGGCAGCCAGTGCATTCTTTCATTTTGATCATCTCATCTTTTTCCTTCCCTTCTTTCAATATTTCCCTTTCTGGAGAAAATCCAGAAAGGAAGAAAAGTAGAATCCCTTGACTGCTAGCATTAAAAACTAGTGGTTACAGTACCACTACAGTCAAACTCTGCTTATTTGGACATAAACTCTTATTGCTATAAGGGAATTTTCTGCTGAACCTGTATGCAGAGACTATATTGCCAAAGAATTTGTATTCTCTACAGCAGGGGTCCCCAACCACCGGTCCACGGACCGGTACTGGTCCATGGAACAAATCCTACCGGGCCGCTGGTTTGCTGGGCGCCACCATCTTGTTTTGATGAAAAAGTGCTTCCGGTGAGCTTTTCCGGGTAGAAAGCTCACCGGAAGCACTTTTTCATCAAAACAAGATGGCGGCGCCCAGCTGATGCCGGTACCGGGCCACGGCGCCCAGCTGAAGCCGGTACCGGGCCGCGGCATAAAAAAGGTTGGGGACCACTGCTCTACAGAATACATATTCTGTACTCTATGCCTCTGCTCCCCCCACATTGTGAGATACACAATGTCCATGGTAGCTCAACCACAATTACATACATACATACGTAAAAAACAAGATAATAGGTATAAGTAAAAACATAGTTATGAATACATGGATACATACAAGAAAAATAAAAAATAAAAGAAACAATAGGACAGGGATGGTAGGCACAATTGGTGCGCTTATGCACGCCCCCTACAGACCTCTTAGGAAAGGGGTGAGGTCAATAGTAGACAGTCTAAGGTTAAAGTTTTTGGGGTTTGGGGAAGAAACCACATACATATATAGAAAATTAAGGGAAAAAGTCCTTAATAATAACAACTTTCAGGTTTTATGGAACAAAGTGATATAAAACTTTGGCACAGGTTTTGAGTGAATCTGATAGCACCAATATATTCCCATTATACAAATCCATTTTGGGATAAGCAGTGTTATGCTAAGTGTAGAAAATTGGTAAGAAATAGCAACTCAGTGATAATTAAAGTTATGAAATAACAAAAAGATAAGAAAATACAAACGTGCAAAAACTAGTTTATGCCAAGATTAGTCCTTATACTGTTCCAACAAAGAGCTGTGGTGGCTCAGTGGTTAGAATGCAGTATTGCAGGCTGACTCTGCTCACTGCCAGCAGTTCAATCCTAACTGGCTCAAGGTTGACTCAGCCTTCCATCCTTCTGAGATTGATGAAATGAGGACCCAGATTGTTGGAGGCAATGTGCTGACTCTGTTAACACTTAGAGAGGCTGTAAAGCACTATGAAGAGGTCTATAAGTCTAAGTGCTGTTGCTACTGCGAATAATCCTGGTTTCTAACATGTCTGTATAGTACTCCATAGTACTATACTGTAGTACAGCCTGTATAGTACAGCCTTTTGATCTTTAAACTTAAATGTCCTTTTTGAGAACCTTATTAGCTCCATGCAGCTTTTAGGTATTGTACTTTAAGCTCAGCTAGAACTGAAACTCAGAACTCAGCTAGGATGTGAAATATTAATATCCATAATAATACAAGTGTAAACTTTGGGACATGACTTTGAATGGACATCTGATTTGGAGTAATAGGGTTACTGAGTTCTTCCATTCAGAAAGCTGCTTCATGGTGGTGCAGTGGTCAGAATGCAGTACTGCAGCTACTTCTGCTGACTATTAGCTGCCTGCAGTTTGGCAGTTCAAATCTCACCAGGCTGAAGGTTGTCTGAGCCTTCCATCCTTCCGAGGTCGGTAAAATGAGGATCCAGATTGTTGGGGGCAATTTGCTGACTCTGTAAACCGCTTATAAAGGGCTGTAAAGCACTGTGAAGTCGTATAAAAGTCTAAGTGCTATTGCTATTAGAATTAAGATTGAGTATATTTAAGCTGACAGTGATTTCATGTGATAATTTTCTAAAGGGCAAACCCTTTAATAGGTAATAAGCTTAGCTCAAGGAGGGTGATTGAAAAAATTCTATGAGCTACAAAGTTATAGGTGCTTAAAGTTCCACTGACTTCCAAATCAGTGTACACTTGATTATGTTTAACCTAACTTTCATGTAAAACTGACTGTATAGTCTGACTATCTGAAAGAACTTGCTTTAGAATTATATCACATGAACAATGGATTAACAGACATTGGACACAAATATGGAATCTTTTTCTCCTAGAGATAATTTTTTTGTCTATGTCTGCTCTTGTGCTACCTTGTTTAAAATTAAGCCCTACCTAAAGCCCTTTAAAATGAACATGCACTTGTTCAACCCCACTTTTGGACAAAGAAATTTGTGCTACTGAATCATGGGACCATAACTATGGGTAGGAGCAGTATTTCCAAAGAACTGTTCCTTCAGGGTCATTTCACATCACATGGGAACGTCTATGATGAACCTATTAGACATTGTTAGTCATTTCCACAGTACTTGTTCAGATAGAAAGTTTACTACTCGATTCCTTCTTCTCTGCAATCATCCTAATGAGACACAACATGTCAGACTGTACATTTTTTATTGTCTATTATAGGTGTTCACCAACTTGCTACCAGTGGTGGGATTCAATTTTTTTTTACTACTGGTTCTGTGGGTGTGGCTTAGTGGGCGTGGCAGGGGAAGGATATTGTAAAATCTCCAGTCAGAGGTGGTATTTTCCGGTTCTCCAAACTACTCAAAATTTCTACTACCGGTTCTCCAGAACTGGTCAGAACCTGGTGAATACCACCTCTGCTTGTTGCCTATTGTTATGAAATATGTAGCACAATCTTCTCCGTGCCTTTTGTACATTTAATCAAAAGTTAAACTAATTAAATTATATCATTTTTACTCCTAATAAGAATTTGGTTTGAAACTTTCATCTCCAGGTGCATCTGGGTGATAACTGTTCTGGAGAATGATCAGTTCATATCTAGCACCTTCATACATTTTCCACATGAGAAGATCTCTTGGATAGAATCAGTAGGGCTATGCTATTTAAGTAAGCAAGATTCCAGACTCAACTGAAAGATCATAGACTTCTAAATGGATATATTCATGCTGAGTTTGAAGACCTTAAGGGATAGAAGTAATAGCAATAGCTATTATATACCATATAATAGCCCTCTCTAAGCAGTTTACAGAGTCAGCATATTGCCCCCAACAATCTGGGTCCTCATTTTACTGAGCCTGGTGACATTCGAACTGCCAAACTGCTGGCAATCAGCAGGCAGCAGAATTAGCCTGTAATACTGCATTCTAACCACTGCACCACCATAGCATTATTACCATAATCCACCTAATTTTTTTCACTTGCAGAAAGCATAACAGGCCCACACTGTCTTTTGTCCATTTAAAAGCAGTTTGTTCAGTCTGCTATGGTCACAAATGCGTCAATCAGGCATTACAGGTGTAAAGTAGAACACACATATAAGGAGCTGTAGGGCCTTATCAGCTGTTCTCATTGTGCAATGTTGATAGATTAACTGAGCAACCCCTCATTGATTGTTTATGCAGCAATGTATTAACCTAACTGCAAATAGTGCCTCAACATGATGGCAATTCGAGACCAACCATAATTCCTTTACCACCAGAGATATCCAGGGAGATATTACTAGACATCAACTTTAATCATTGGTATGGTATTGTTTGATCATATAACTTGTCCTCTACCCAATAATGAAAGCTGTAGTCCAATGATTTCAAGATGATTAGATTAGGTACTCTCAGTCTTCTGTACCAAGCATTTCAACAATAAATAAGGACAGAATGCAATGATAATAGTTACAAATGTACAATTTTAAAAAAATATACAGAGCGATTAATTCAGTTTAAAACATATGTCAAACTTCTTTAGCTAATAAGTCCTATTCTGTGAAAAGCAAAAACAAAAGACCAAATCAAAATCATTGATATGATATGATATGATATGGATGTCAACAGAATTGTTAGCTAATATCCAAGAAATAAATATTGAAACAAGTACTTGGATAGATCATAATCCAATGACAATTAAATGGAAAGGAAAAAGAATAAGATCTAGATGGACGTTAAATAATACTATACTAAAAGAAAAAGACTTCATACAGAGGATGGAGAAAGAACTGGCTTTTTTCTTTAAAGAAAATAAAAAAGAAGACACATCAATGCAGAACGTATGGGATACAATGAAGGCATATGCCAGAGGCTTGATAATAGACTATACAAGGAAAAGAAATACCATGAAAAATCTAGCCTTTAAGACATTAGAGGATGAGTATAAAGGACTTGCAAAAGAGTTACAGAAATTGCCACAGAAAAAGGACATTGTTAAAAATGGATA